GTCAAAGTCTAGCCGAAGTTGCTTTTCTACTTTTTCAATTCGATCTGCTCTACTCTTCTGAATGTCAATCTCCAATCCTTTTTGATACACTTCATCTTCTAGCTTCTGCAAAGTCATTCTCCATTGTCTCCGTTCTGCTTCGAAATCGCGCTTGGCTAACTCTAATGGAGATGGCACCACTCTTAACTGTTCCTCCACCGGCTGAATATTTTCAGGATTCACCATCGGGATATTGTCATTTACTCGACCGCTTCTCCACTGCTCGTACTCTTGAGACAACTCAAGATCATAGGTAAACAATTTCACGCGACGAGTTTGCTTCCAGGCCTCAGCAACCCCTTTAACTTTACCCTTATATTGATCTCCTTTGAATGCAAAATCCGACCCTACCAAGTCCCATGTGGCTGGAATGAACTGCCTTGACCCATATTGTCTGGAAACTAGTAGCGGTGCATACCCAACAAAACCCCATATACCTGGCAAAGGAACCCAATCTCGCTCTCCACATCGGTAAAGTATATCCAAAGAGGTATTCCACGAAGCTCGCCACAAAATATCTCCATCTCTGATATCCTTGAAGATGACCACCCATTTTTCTTCAGTAAAACCCCCAGGCCATTCTTTAGAAAGAAAATCTTTCAAAGGCGAAAACCCCTCTAGAAACACTCGTCCTGGTGCTCTTTCAACATGTTTAAAATGATTCAGAATCCACACTAGCAGCAAAGGCGCACATCCTATAAAGCGTCATTCTCCCTCGCGCCTACAAGAACTCAAAGACCGAAACGTCTCAGCTAGAATAGCTGGAACAGGATCCACGTGTTTGTCTAATCTTTCAAACAGGTCAACAACTGATACGTCTACATATCCTAGCACTTTTGGAAAAATAACAAGCCCATAAATCCCTAAAGCAAACAAGTCAAGCTTCTTTCTTTTATCAGGATGATGAGCAATTACTTCTTTCAGAGCAGCCCAAGAGATGCACTCACTGTCTCCTTTCTTCTTAATGTTTCTGATTACACAATCTTCACTCATTCCGGTCATCAATAGTAATTTCTTCTTAAATGAAGGAGTGACTGGCAGCTTGGTATATATTCTATCTATCTGGGACCTCGGACAACGGACCAATACTTGATACTCCTCTATTGTTGGTGTCAGGTCTACCCTACCAAATGTGAAACAGCTATAAGCCGGATTCCAGAACTGCGCCAATGCTCTAAACAGATTTCTGTCAATAGGAACATCCAGAAGATAAGGAATATCGCCGTACAACTGATAAAACATCTCCTTATCGGCTGCTTCCCATCTTTCCCATATCTCCTTTAGCTCACTTAGATCATTCTGACGCACGTTGACGTGAGTATAACCGAATAACTCTGATACGTATCCAGGCATCACGCTGTCTCCATTGGTCAATTGGGACTGTTCCGACCACCTCAGAACATCTGCATTGTCCTCAACCTCTTTCTGAACCGTTAATTCCATATTACTGGCCTTCTATATGGACATCGACCCCAAATCAACACCATGTAATGGACAATGCAATGCAAAACAGAAAAGAAACAATGCAAAAACAACAAAAGATCGGTTAGTAAACATGAAGCAATTAATTCAGGATAATAATTTGTTCAAAAATCCTACCCACATACGCTGACTACCCATTCATGCTTTATCAGATCCTACCCAACATGATATCTACCCCATGCCTCGTTATTCACAAAAACCTAACCGCATGATATCTAATTCACATACTTGTTCGAAAAATAAACCTAACCGCATGATATCTAATTCGCATGCATTTATTCGAAAAAACGAAAATAAATGACTCAAAAAAGCTTTTCCTTGTGTACCCTCCTCACGGGATTCTTAAGGCTCGGGTTTGGTTCAACCTAAGTTCAGGCTCTACGTTCACTATATGCTGGGTTAAGTTCTAAAGTAATAGGTTCTCGAATTGTCCTTGTCGGTGCCCCATTGGGCTGCCGAACCCTCAATCCTGGCCCATCACAGGCTTTAGGGGATCGAGTTCAATTTCGAGGGAACACACCTCCTTATGTCCATGCGGAGGTGATTACCATCACGAGGACCATAAGGCGTGAGCTCCAGGAGCGATCCATTATCCCATGCGGAGGTGAAAACCACACGAGGGCATAGTCTCTCACTCCTACTTAATTAGGACGGAGCGGGGTTTTAGCTCATGTTATGACAATGCAGCTGTGCAGTGTGTGAGGAAAAGCGAAAAAAACAAACAATAAAAACACTCAAAATCAATTCTCAAAACACAAAATTATTCTGAAATCATTAGCAAACAGATCAGTACAACTATTTAATTGTCAATCAAATTAAATTAAAAAAAATCAAAATACAAACAAAACTTATTAAAAACCAAACAAGGGATCAAAAATCAAATTAAAACGAATTTGTAATTTTCAATTGCAAAGACAATTAATTAATCGACTATCGGCTTGACTCTCTAAAAAAAAAGTCCCCAGCAGAGTCGCCAAGCTGTCGAAACAATTTTTTCTTGAAGGGTGAAAAAAGGTGAGATTTAAAAGCCACATTAATTTTTAATTTACCTCTTTCAATTGATTTTTAATTTAAAAACAAATGTGATTTGAAAACCTCTCGTTTCGAAAAATTTTGGATTTCCTTTATGATCAAAAAAAAATACAGTTCAAAGAGTCGCCACCAATCTTTGATTAGGGTGTGATTGGGCACCCAAAAATGCTTGTTATTTTAGATAAAAATTAATTTTAATTAAAACAACAAATTAAGGTCTGCGTTACCAAAATCCGAGTTCGGGAGTCGGTTACGTGCGGGGAAGGATTAGCACCCCCACAACGCCCTAAATCGGTACCTAGCCGATTAATTAACGTCTTTGCAATGAACTTTACAAATTCAAATTTAATTTAATTTTTGATCCCATAAAACAATGATGTAAATTTAAAAACATTCAAAAGCACTCAAATAAATTAAATTAAAATTACCGAGTCGTTTTAGAAAGATAAAGAATGTTCGATTATTTACAAATATCGAGACCAGATCTTAAAGATATAACAACCTTTTCTCGATATATTTAAATAAACGAACATTTCTTTTTCTCTCGTTCCCAAATTTTAGGTGACGAATCAATTTTTTTGGTTTCACTTTCGGGATACACTTTTATTTTAAAATCATTAAAAGCAGACCTCAAATCAGTTATGACTGCCCACTTAAAATAATTTTAAATTAAAAGTATATTACCCTTAATCCAATTATGAAGATGTCGAGTTATGAAAATAAGGCTATCATGCAAATTGTAAAAAACGTATGTCATGCCAGAAATTAATTAAATAAAATTACAAATATCATACAATGTGACATGAAAAAATTATATACATATGTTTTAATTAAAAATCATAAATTATGCATATTGACATATTATGAACACATGTGACCTAAATACAAAAACAAAATCATAACATGCTAAACTATAAATTTAAAAAAGGTATATATACATGTTAAAATAAGGACTAAATTTAAAAAATGTAAAATTCAGCATACTACATAAATTCAAACCATTTTAACATGAAGGACAAATAATTCAGACCCTAAATTGCTAATAAACCATGAGCATGCATAGGACTGAAATAAAAGAACATAAAATAACATAGCAAATACATAAACTATACGAAGTAAAAACAAATAAACTAGCCTAATCTAATGTAAACTAAAAGGAAATGAAGCGTAAATTAAAAATATATAAGTATATATCACTAATTAAAACATGGGTTAAAAACGAAAATGCTTAAGTTATGAGGGCCTAAACCTAATCTATCCTTAAGGTCATGGTGGCTAACAATAATTAACCCTAAAATATTAATATAAAACCTAACTAAAACTTAAACCTAAGCTAAATACACCTAAAATAACAATCAGTCGCTTATACCCGTCTCCTTCTTCCCCTCTTCTATTCTTCATCACTTCCATGGTCGAGAGCCCTTATTCAAACCTGTTACCGCCACCGCATGGCCACCAGACCTTGGCGGTCACCTCTCCTCTGGCCACAAGACTCAAACAACCAAGGTAACAGAATCCCATCACTCTCCTTACTCATTTTCTTTATTTTGTTTCGAAATTTTTTGGTTTCATAGAACTAATATCAACCCTTTTTATTAGACGATAAACCCCTGATCAAGATGAAATTGAATCTACGAGACTTTAACTGCCTTCACAACCCAGGTAAATCTCTAATTTCCCCCCTATTTTCTATTTTGGTTTCGAAAGAAAGAAGAAGAAGAAAAAAAAAACAGAAAACAAAATAAATGCTAGAAAGATTTAAGAATGAAAACAAAAACAAAACCTTTTCAAATGCCTTCTCTTTTGTGTATCACTTGATTTTGCCTTTGTTGTTGGGTTGTTAATGGAAATGATGTATTGCCTTCATTTTCTGTTGTTGATGAACTCCTCTCTTTTGTTGTTTTTCTTTACTTTTGCTTCAAAAAATAAACACACGCACACACCTAACACATACTAGGAGTCGAAAAGAATCTGAGGAACACCTCCAAATTAGTTTTTATTGCTTTCGAATAAGAACGGAAAAATCCCTGTTACACTAATTGATTCTTGAATACAGGGGAGAAAGAATTCCTTTTCACACACTGTTCTCTTTTTTCTTCTATTGTTTTCAAAAACAAATAAAAAATTTTCTTTCCCAATGGTCTCTCCGTTCCCAATTAATCCCCTTGTTGTCTCCTTTTTTTTTTCCTTCTCCTGTTCTGTCTCCCTTTTCCAGTGGTTAATCTTTTTTCCTTTCACAAGTTGATGAGTGGTTCCCACGTTCTCCAACTGACCATCTCCCCCTTTTGCTATGATGAGTGGTTAATGCCTCAAACAACCGACCCTCACCTCCACTTTGCTTTTTAACTCCCAATAACCATTTTTTTTAGTTTTTTAGGATTTCACGTGAACTGGGCTTGGTCATTGAATTGGGACTCCAACTACTTTGCTTCGGGTCTGCTCCGACTTAGGCCCGGATAAATCGAGCATCTACAGTTCAAGAAGCTCCAAATTTGTGTATGTTCCGTAACTCAAGAGAACCTACATAAAAGATAGTTAGCATTTCAAGTACATGGTCAACAAATAAAAACTGCAAGCAGTGTCCAAAGGGTGAACACAATCAAGAAAAGAACGAAAATCGGGCAATTGTTTCTGTTGTCAGGTGTTATTTTCCATGTTTCAAAAAGGCAACTGGTTTTGACATCAGTTAACGGGTGGAGGACCCAATATGAATAGAAAGCCATAAGAAGCACCAATGCATCATACTTAACAGAACTGGAATGACAAAATTGAGCGTGCTTGATTCCGAAGAAAAACTATCATTACCAATTTTCTAAGGTAATTAAACTAGGAATGACTTGTGGGTTTAGTGTAAGGGGCTATTGCTATCAATAGAACAGAAAGAAAGGAAATTTAATCCATTGCATTTTATAGAGTTCAAGTACTTTCTCCCAAGGTAGTTTGAATTCTCAACCCTCACTAATAAGTCAAAGGTCCTTTTGTCATGTTTTTTGCTTCATACCTAAGGAAAAAGGTTATCATGTAAAACATATAGCACGTCAATGCAAAACTTTATAGCACGACAATGCAAAACTTAGGATGCAATAGAAACTTAACATGAAGCATAAAGAATTTGGATTTTCAGAAAGGGGAAAAGAAAAAGAATTTGAGTTTACATCCCTAAATATTTAAGCTAGACTTGGTAAATCATTGGGGTTGAGGCCAAATACAAAGAATAAGAAGATTATCCGTGGTAAATGACTTGCATTTGCAGCCTGTTAGACAAGTGATTAAACAAATTAGGCTATGCATAATAAAAAAATGAGACAATCTACCAGGAAGATTTCTTCTCAATCTAAAGTATCTTTATTTAAGCTAGACTACGTAAATAATTGGAGTGAGCCTAATACAAAGAATAAAAAGAGTATCCACGGTAAGTGACTTGCATTTGCAGATCATTAGAAAAGTGATTAAACAAATTAGCTATGCAAAATAAAAAATGAGGGAGACATCTACCAGGAAGGATTCTTCTCAATTTAATGTATCTTTATTTAAGCTAGACTTGGTAAATCATAGGAGTTGACGCCCAATACAAGAATAAGAAGATTATCCATGGTGAATGAATTGCATTTGCAGCCCGTTAGACAAGTTATTAAACAAATTAGGCTATGCATAATAAGAAAATGAGGCAGACATCTACCAGGAAGGATTCTTCTCAATTTTAAGTACCTGAAGATTTCGAAAGACTGACATCATACTTGGTGTGAGATTCAACCACAAAACATGGATTCATTTTAAATTCAAAAAATGATTGAATTCAATAGAAAAGCACATTTTGGAACAACAATGGCGGCACAGAAAGGTGAGCTGGTTAGCTTAGACTGCAGCAAGGGTAAAAGATAATGGTCCACAAGGTATATCAGAATTCTCCACCATGCTCAAATAAATAAAAAAGTTGTTTTCGGCAAATTATTATTAATGTGAATTGCAGCTTACCAGGGAAGTTAAGGATTGAGGACTGCAGATAAAAGCTTTTTATTTACAATTATGATACAATAAGGGAAATTTCAGCAAGCAACATATGATTTGCGGACAAAACAAAATAAATTTCTCATATCAGTGAATGCTCATTCTACTTGTCTCATTTTATTAGGCATTGGAATTATGATTTACTGAAGAAAAAAAATGCCTCAGAATTTCATGCAAGATTATGATTACAGAAAAAAAGAACAAAAAGGAAAAGATGAAACTAAAAATATATCTTAATGCTCTGTGAGTAAAATGAAAGAATTCCATGTACCTGCTCCCCTTCATCATAGTTTTTTTTAGCATAGAAGCAATATGCAGCTGCATCTTCCTCGTATCCACCATCAGTTAATCTCTGCGAATGCATATCTAATTCATCTTTTGCATGTTCATTTTTCCAGTTATCTACATCTTCAAAGCTGTCTGATTCTTCAGTTGGTGCAGCATAATTAAACAAGTCTCCCACAGGACATAAGCAGCCAGCTTCATCCCAAGGTACATGTAACGTCCTAGAGGAGATCTTCAACATGAACAGATGTAAAAGGTTTTTATGGTTCAAGTACATCAGGATATAAGAAAGAAAAAAGGCCAAGAAGAAACAAAGCATAGAGAAAGTAAGATTATTAGAAGTAGAGAACACAAGCTGCATGTATATTCATACATTTATGCGTATGCATGTGTGTATTGTGTGTAACAGTCTAAGCTGAAGCTGTCTAACATATATAAAACCAAAAAATAAAAGTGAATCATAAACACTGTCAACTCACAGTTCCAGTAGCCCAAATCCAAGCCCTGAAAGTGAGAAGTGGAGGCTGAAGTTTAAGTTCCTTCATGAGATTGGAAGCCTGTTTCCACTCATATTTAGCTTTTGAGATAGCTTTCTGAGCAGCCCAGATGGCATAATCCACCTAAGAAAGCAATAGCTAGAAAGGTTAGAAAGAAAATCAAGAAATACAAGTGAAGTAAATGTGAGAAAGCAAAAGCAAAAGAGGAAACAAAATCAGCGACGGAACTTGCAAGGCTTGCGTTTCAAGTTCACCGAAAGCGGCGAGTATGGAATAACTACGAGGCAAGTGCAGAAAGTAAGGGTGCCATGGTGAAGCCTTTCCTTTATTGATTTCATATAACAAACAAACAGTGAATATCTGCATTTCAAATGAAATGAGCAAATTGCTTTAGCTTAGTCTCCGGGTTTGGTCGAAATGCAAAATAAAACATGCAGCAAGAACTGAAACTCAAAATCAAACCTGGGTAGGAGAGAGAGAAAGATGGGGTTTGAGTGCAAGAGACAAAGTTTCATATCTGGAAATAAGAGAGTGAGTGGTGATTAAGGCAGATTTTGGGAATTTAAGAAGCAAATCTCCCTTGGTGATAGGACGGAGAGCAGCCACACCTCTTCCTCCGGCGCCGGGGAAGTAAGAGACCCCCATAGAATGGCCCAGCCCCAGGCTAGAACACGATTCTGAAACCTCAATCCCATGCTCTGCCGCCCATTCTAGCAATCTTTTCAAACCTCTTTCCTCTGCCTCCGACGAGGGCTTCATCTTCCCAATCCCAACAACCATGAATTGGATTGGATTTAACTTGACCCGGTCCTAGACCTGAGATCCGCCCACGGCCTTATAGACTCGGGTCTTGTTTAATGAAACAACCGAAAATTAATATTTGTAGTGAATGGGTAAAAACTTATAGATATATTGTTGTTAAAAAGATTGATGCCGTTAGAGAATTTATTTAGAGGACTAGAATGATTTATATTAAGAAGGTGATATTAGTAATAAAAGAGAATATTATATTTTTTTAGATGATTTGATTATAAGAACAATTTATATTATGAATTTGATATTAGTGATATATTGTTGTATTTGGTGATAAAAAAAATTAGGATATGTGGTGTCAATAAGAATTTGATTTCTCATTGTTTGATTTAAATAATTCGAGTTTTATGTATTTTCTTTATTGTTAGGTAAGAAAAAAACACTAAAAGTTTAGTTAATTTCGCTTTTGATTGGTTGATCAATTAGTTTTTAGTACCGTCTAAATGTTTTTGTCAATTAATTTTAAGAATCATCGGATTCTTTTTCTTAAATTCAAACGTTCAAAACCCTGTTAATTTAGTGTTAGAGAGTATTTTCTTTGAAATCTAAATTAAAAAGAGCTCGAAAAGGAGAAAAATATATCTCTATTCTAAACTAATTCAACGATGACAATTACAGATAAAATCAAGATAAGGAAAACCATACTAAGAAGACGAAGGAAAGTGAGAGAACGAAATATTTCGATATAGTTACATCACAAAATGTGGGGGATTGAATGGTGGTGGACAAAGATTCTAGCCACGAGAAAGAAGAAGGTTTTAGGAAAAAAATTAAAAATCCCCGAAACCCAATTTTAGTGTTGACATTAGACACTTAACGATGAAGTGATCATAACCAGTAAAAATTGAAAGTTCAGTATTGAAATTAAAAGATTTTAAAGCCGGTGATCAAAATAGAAATATAGACAAATTAATTGACAAAAAAGGAATCTATCCTAAAGTATAAAGATAATTACAAAGTAAAAAAACTGTCCATAAATGAAACTGATGCAGAGGGCATTGACTATTTGTTGTTTGTCATGTGGAAACAAGGTAAACAACAATAAAAATAACAAACAAAAAATCTTGTCAGGTGACTCACTCACTAAAATTAAATGTTCGATCTGAATTAGTTAAAACGAGAAAAACAACAACAATGTGCATTAAGCCATTAATAGTATCAATAATTTTTAAATAAAATAAAGCAAAAACATCATAGAGAATTCAAAGACTAATTTATTTAAATCTAATCATTTCATATTGAAAACCCAATAGATCAGATATATCACCATAACCACTAAAGAGATGAAAAATAGTCAGAACACCAAAATTGAGTATGAAACAAAAAAATCAAGGGCAAGGAAGAACTGTGGGATCCAATGGTGTAGAGAAATCCCTTTGGCACATGCTGGGCTCAACTCTTACAACACCTTCTCCCTATACATCAACCAATGTGCTTATATTTCATGCTCACAAATAAATAACAAAATAAAAATATAAAAAAACATCATGTTAAAATTTATATCTAACTAAATAACCACTTTAACTCTTTTTTTAAAAGTATTCTAACCCCAACGTTTTATTTTGAGTTAAAATAGACTTTATTTGATGTAGACTATTAATTAACTAATAATCAACGTTTGTCGATTATGTGACACTACTTTATGTATATAAGTGATAACGTGACATATGCTATGTTATTAAAGTGATGATGTAACATGGACATGTGATATGTGTCATATTATCACTTATGTACATGTGCTATGTATCACGTCATTACTTTGGACACATGACATGTACTACACCATCACTTATATACGTGTGGTAGTGCCACATTAATGTTTTGGACACAGAATTTATCACGTCAATAATAAGAATTGATCGTTTATCAACCTACAATCCATCCAACAATAGGATAATTTGACAAAAATATAACGTTAGTAAAATAAATTACTTTTTTGTTAAAAAATAGAAATCAAATAACTATTCAGTTAAATAATATTAGAGGTGATTTTAATTTTATACCTATAAAAATTAATAAAAAGAACGTACCTTTGCAAGATTTCTAAAGTAAGCGGTGGTGTAGTTTCCGGTTGGGAACAAAATCTCAATAAGATCAGCTAAAACCAGTTGGGGTTGAGAGACGGCACCATCCAACCAATCTTTATTTACATGTAAACACAAAAAAAAAAGGGTAAAATTTCTATTATTATAGAAATAAAAAGAGAAAAAAATATTTATAAATAAAAATATTACCAAGGGTAGTTAAATTTTGGATTCTCTTATTATATCTCCATAAGCTTTGGTTTGTAATAAATCCAGAACAAGAATGATCTTGGGAAGTTCTATCGTGCAGTAACTTTAATATACGGTTAAAGAAAGACGGTGTCGGTTTTATTATTATTTTTTAACAAAACTGGTAAAATATTATATAAAACATTATTATTTCTACCTAAAATATTAATGTTTTTTAACATTTCCAATAAAATGCCCAATAATAATAAAACCGGTAAAAAAAATAATAAAACTGGTAGCGCTTTACTTAATATGTTAACAAAATCGGTAAAGCGCATAATAATAACAAAACCGGTAGAAATAATAATGTTTTCGATAATTTTTTACCAGTTTTATTAAAAGAATAATAACAATACCGATAGCACATTTCTTTAGCCGTATATTAAGGATGTGACACGTCATTCTTTTCCAATGATCTTCGATGTTTATGTTTTGGAGGAATGCTGTCTCATTGTACCCAACTGTATCCCAACCATATGTTTCATCTATTACAACATCCACCGTCTGAAATAAATATTGTTAATTAATAAACTTGTTAACAATAACAATAAGAGTAAGGTGGTGTTTGTTTTTACAGAGGTAAAAGGTCTGCAATCTGCGGATCACATCTGCAGCAGAAAAGGTAGACCAAAAGGTTTGCAGTCTGCAAGAAGAATACTGCTTGTTTTTTAACGTCTGCAGACTGCTAAAATAAAATGAAATATAAATAAATTGATTTTTTAAACTTAAAAGAGTTTTGCAATACTGAGATTTAAATAATTGTAGTTTTACAATATTGAAATTTAAATAATTCATACAACTACAATAATAAAATTTTTAGAAAAACAAACACCACCTTATTAATTCTATTATAAGTCTCACATAATCACATGTATTATTAGTTTTATAGAATAAAATTTATAAATGATCATTAAATTATATGATTTTTTTAAATATGCAATTATGTAATACTTTTCATTTTTTTAATATATATTCATAATTTATTTTTATAATTATATGATATTTTTAGAAAATATTTTTTAATTTATCAAATTATTTTATGATTATTTTTATTTAATTGTGATTATATTTTAAAATTCTAAAAACATAATTTATAATTTTTTATATTTTAAAATCTTAATTATCAAACAATAAAATCATTTTTTATTAAGTAATGTGGTTTAAATACTTATATTTTGTATAAAAAGTTTAAATATAATTTAAAAATAACAAATTGAAAAATATATTATATTTAAACTTAAATCAAAATAATTAAAATAAATATAAAATTTTAATAATATATAAAATAATTTATATGATATAAATTAAATATCTATAATATAATATTAAAAAATTAATATTTAATTTATTTAAAAAATTAATATTAAAATTAATATCTATAATATAATATTAAAAAATTAATATTTAATTTATTTAAAAAAGTAATATTAAACTTAAAATCAAATATAATATAAAATCAAATATCTATAATATAATATTAAAAAATTAATATTAAAATTAATATTTAATTTATTTAAAAAATTAATATTAAAATTAAAATCAAATATAATATAAAATTAAATATAAAACCTCTTTGAAGAGGTTAGAAGACGTCTGCAGACATAAGGTCACGTCTGCGCCGCGCAGACCACGCGCAGATGTTAGAAGAACTTTTGTATTCTAAAAAACAAACGGTCTGCGAAGCCCAATGTCTGTGCGTGGACTGCGCGGCGCAGACATAAGAGCTTTACAGACATTTCACAGTAAAAACAAACACCACCTAAGTTACGTATTTATTCGTCCACTTATTCTTACAATTTTGTTTTGATCACTCAACTATTCTTTTTTAAATTATACTTAACATTACGTTTTGATTCCATTTTGATCACACACCATTAAAAAATTAACGGTGATGCCGATGTGTCATCATACGATAATGTCACATCATCATTGAAAAAAATTGTTATGCCAACATTTTTGTTTAATTTTTAACAGTGGATAACAAAAATTAAATTAAAACGTAACATTAAGTATAATTTTAAAAAAAATAATAATAATTAATTGATCAAAACGGAACCACATTAATAAGTGACTAAATATCAGTTTACCCTGACAACAACAATAATAATAGTAATAATAAACAACTTACACATAGGATAGCATGCAAGTCTTCAATATCATCAGGATTAGAGATGTTATATGTAATCTTGTTAATGGAGGCGTCTACATTTTCTCCTTCTGCATCTTCTACATACTGTTTTAATCTTAAATTAAAATTAAATATTACTTTATAATATAAAAATAATCAATTGGATAAGTTATCAAATACCTTTAACTTATATAATCCCTTTGTGAAAGACCATATTCCCTGCATTCATGCATGCAAAGTGCAAAACCTGAGTTAATTTAAGTATGTAAATTATAAAGACCATATGTGTATGCATGCATGTATGTATGGCCGAGGGTCATGTTGTGTAGTCTCTACCTACATTCTGGTATTCCATCCATGCCACTATTGGTTTGAATGTTTTTTCCTTGGCCTCTGCAACTTTAGTTAGGCATGAATAATTGTCTTTTACCTGCAAATAATTTAAATAACAAGAGTCAAACTAAAATTTCATTTCATTTAATTGTAATCTCATAAATAGTATCATTTATATTATTTATTGAATTCATGCTTAAATAAAGAGTCAATTTGATACAAATTTAATTAAAAAATATCAAAAATAACTTCATTTATTAAAGATAGCAAACATTATTTTGAAGATATTATTTTTTTCACATTTATATTAATATTTAAATAAAATATCGAAAAAAAATATTACTTGAAGAGTTGAAATTAACAATATTATTATTAGTGTATAAAAAAAAATGAAAGCAAACACTAACCGTTTTGTAGACTTGATTTGCTCTATTTTCCAAATTTGCAAAAGCCCCCAAGAACTTGATCCATTCTGCTCTCTATCATATAACAAACACAGGAGAACATATATGCATTTGTGTATATACATAGAGGGATGGACCGACCAGTCGTCCCTAAAAACTATATATATATGGGTAAATTAAAAGGAATTAAACATACTTGTAAAGGAGTGTACTCTCCGGTAGCAGCAAAGTTGGCAATGAAATTAATAATGATATGTTTAACAAATAGCAACAAAACAGAACTGGGTGAAATAAATTCATTAACATCTACCAAAATTAAACCAATATAAGGAACTCTTTTAATTATTGCACGTAGGGCTGTAAATGAGACGAGACAGATCGCGAGCTACTCGAGATCGACTCGGTTAAGGCTCGATAAATACTCGGATCGAATGGACTCGACTCGAATTTTTAACGAGCCGAAACGAGTTACTTGATACTCGACTCGAAAAGCTCGTGAGCAGCTCGAAAATATAATATATTAAGATTTTATTTCTTTTAAAAATAAATTATTAATAATATTAACATTTATGTGTTGATTTTTTTTTTAAATATAGTAAGACTTTCATGTATTTAAGGTTCAGGTTTGAGTTTGAGGCTTCAATCTAGTTAAGTTTAAGATTTTTTTTATTTCGAGCCTTTTCGAACTGCTCACACGCTTCAATTCAGGATTTCGAGTTCGAGTCGAACTTAAAATTTTTAAGCTCGCGAGTTCTCGAGTCGAGTGAGCTGCATTTCAGAGTTTTTGAGTTGAGTTGAGCTCAGCGATACTCGAGCTCGACTCGGCTCGTTTACATCCCTAATTGCACCAGAACAGAAGTGGGTGAAATGAGTTACGGTGACCAAAAAACCTGGAAAACTGTTGGTGGTATCGACAGAAAAATTGGAGAGTGGGATGACAAAAGACTTTATCCTTGGCGTGCAGTATTTTGTCCTGCTGGCCATCCTTGTATCACTCTATATATAAAAAGTCGAGTCATTTCAACAAAAAAAATGGCAATGGGAAATAAAGAGAGAGTAGAGGTACCTGGATGAGAAGATAACTATTGCCATCAATGCCATTCTTAATGACCTTAAAAGTCTGACCATAGTAGATATGGTAGTTTTTAGAATCTTCTACTTTAGATGTTGCCTTGCACTTTGACGTTGGCCGCCCCAATGTTCTTCCAACTCAACAACCACACCACCATTACCAGCCTTTTGATCCAGTAACTAGAACCACCAGACATGACGATGATGAATCTTTTTGGGAATGGAGTATTGAAGAAGTGAAGCAGTTGTTGTTTCCTTGTTGGGTGGAGAAGAAGATGATGAAATGAATGAATTGGGGAACTCGTGAACTTTGTTTCTTTCTTTTTATATACCTTTTTAGATGATGAAGAAACCAAACCCGTGAACTGGTGTGTTTTGTCTTTTTGTCGTCTTATGTTTTAACACCTATTTTGTTGTGACTTCCTTACTCCCATTTCCAAATTTTCCTAATAAACATGATCCCACTCCCTCGGCAAAACTGTCATTTTTTTTACATAAAACGGCATTTTTTAGCGCCGCAAAAAACACTTGTGGCGCTATGACAAATGCCGCAAAAAGCGTCGGGGAAAATAGCATCGTTAAAGTTCGCGGCGTTTGATAACAAAAAACACTGTAATAGGTAACGAGATATAATGGCGTTTGTTGCAATAGGTGTTGAGATTTAGCGGCGTTTATCCCATAAACGCTGCAATAGGTGTTGAGATTTAGCGGCGTTTATCCCACAAATGCTGCAATAGGTATTGATAATTAGCGGCGTTTTTCCCACAAAAGCCGCAACAGGTTTTGAGATTTAGCGGCGTTTTTCCCAAAAACGCCGCAAAATACGTATGTATATAGCGACGTTCTTACAAACGCCTAAAAAATTGAAGATATTTCGCTGCGTTTTCCGGATACAAACGCCGCAAAAGGTTTGGTATATAGCAGTGTTTTTCATATAAACGCCACAAAAGGTCTGGTATATAGCGGCGTTTTTTGGATACAAACGCTGCTAAAGAACACAGAATGTAAACAATTTAAATATTTTTTTCGATTACCCCAAATTTATTTTTTTCAACCTGTTCCATTATCCAACAAACATCACATAATAACACCAAACTCTATATCCATAACAAGCAGCATCTAATCCAATATAATAAATAAAAGTTTTCATTAACGTAATATCAATTCAGTTAAACACGGTTCAGTAACATTAACAGACTGTTGATAACATAAATGAGACTATGATGGTGGATTCTGAGGTTGTGTTTTCTGTAACATTTGCATCATATCATCGAGTCGTTTTTCAAATTCTTGACATTTATGCTGATATGATGCTTCTCTCTGTGTCGCTGCTTCTCTTTTGTGATGTCGATGCTTCTCTTTGTGCTGTCGATGCTTCTCTTTGTGCTGTCGATGCTTCTCTTTGTGCTTCCGCTACTACTCTCTCTTCTTTCCTTGCTTCATTTTCGGCTTTCATGTTAGCCATTTGTTGATCCATTTCAACCAACTTTTGTTTTAAACGACTAACTTCTAATTGGGAAGACTAAGACTGTGACGACATGTACTGAGATGAATTGGATCCAAAATATTTGGTGGGAGTAACGAATGATCATTGACAGCGCACCCGACCATATCTTTCAGGACCCAAAACGTCATTAATAGATTGGTTTTCAATGTCATCCTCATTAACAAGACCTTGACTCGAAGCAGTAGCATGATACTCCGCCCTTTTCTCCCTCAATTTTTCCTAATAATAAAGTGAATAACCATATTGTGGCGCTTGTAGATATAAATGTCGCAAAAAGTCAAGTATATAACGGCATTTTTTAATACAAACGCCGCTAAATACCTTTATTTATATAAGATAAACATATTTTAAATATTTTATTTCTGCTCTATATAAACTAAATTTACTATCATGTACTTTAATGTAATTAACAATAACTATACATTTTAATTAAGACAGAAGTTATGCATAAAACTACTTAACAACAAAATACATTATAATTTAGAAACATTAAAGTTATGTATAAACAGTCTTCACCATATTGTTCATCACAATTTAGTCTTCATTGCTCCTTCGAGGGGAAAGCACGTAGGAAAGTTGTTTTCCTAGTTTGACGACGCATCGTTAAGTTTTTCCTCCGTGTAAACTTTATATGGAGAAACTCTTCATCCATTTCACCAAATAAGTCCCCAACCTCCGGTTCACCAAGAAGAGTCCTTGCGCACTTCAGTGCTTCACTTGAAACAAATAACGACCTTCCACCTACAATATGAAATTTGATTGGAGGTGGCTTGGGAACTGAATCAAACATTAAAAAAATTAAATAGATGATAGAAACTTCTACTTGGACTAAAAGTAGAGGCAACATCGTCTTCATTGAGGGTAGATACTGCTTTTGCAATTGAAGATTCTTTCAACGCCACAGAGTTACCAAATTCGGTTCTAAATATCGGGTATTTATTCACTCCTCTATCATCATTATCAATAAGCTTCGAACATCCTACATGAGTGCGATCTATGAAATTTTAGAGTACAAAATAAAAAATATAGCGGCAGAAACTTTAAGCGATGCTTACCTTCAATTAACAGATCGGCCATGGAAGGGTATGGAGCAATATGAGTTCCTTTCGGGTTATCATCGAGTTTTGACGGCAAGTTCGGACCGATAGCCTCTTAACGATAATTTGATCCATCGTCAGAGCAAATATGCCACGTGGACATTCCGACGATAATTTCCCTTACTTAAGGCAACACCTGCTCTTTGTACCACAACCATTTGTTCACGTTTTCAAAAGCTATTATTTTCCTATTCGAAAACTATTATTTTTCCATTCGAAAGCAGAAAAACACTGCTCCCAAGCAGTAAACCAATAAAACACTATGTATAGATATTGTTTTCCTATTCGAAAGCTATTATTTTTCTCAATTACGTTAGTTTTCTGGGTTTTCCCCATTTTCAGAATACGAATAAAAAATAAATGAAAAAGTTCAGTAGTGAGAGAAGGGATCAAACCGTGCAATCGTGAGATAACTGTTCGTCGGTCAGAGGGTTGATTTGGTCGCCGGGACAGACAGAAGACGACTTCGCTTGGAATCGTCTGAGGGTCATTGTTGTACCAAAGAAATCCCTTTTAGGGAAGCAGAGTTGAAATGATATTAAGGATTGGGTAGTAGAAAAGAGGGAAGCACATATTTACCCTTCGACGGCGTTTTAAAAAAAACACCACTATAATACATGTTTTTGCGGTGTTTTAATAACAAATGACACTATTGATGATCCCTATTATGGCATTTTTCTAAAAAACGCCACTATAAACAACCATATTACGGCGTTTATCAAAAAACCGCCGCTAAATTACTACTCTACAACAGCGTTTATTGCATAAATACCACTATAAACAACCCTGTTACGGCATTTTTTATACAAACGCCACTAAATTACTCCTATATTGCATCATTTTTCAAAAAAATGCCGCTAAATTACTATTATTTTGCGACGTTCGTTGAAAAAACGCCACTATAAAGAACTCTATAACGGCGTTTGTTGGAAAAATGCCTCTAAAGTATCATTTTGTGGCATTTGGTTTGTAAACGCCACTGTATCCTGAAATTTTGTTGCGTTTACTCTCCAAACGCCGCTACGGAACACTTTTGCTGTAGTGCATGTGCCCTGCACTAACATTAACACTACCACTCATCCACTTACAAATTATTAAGTTTTTATTTATCTTAGACTGAATTATTTAGATTTTATTAATCTTGGTTGATTACAATATAATATTTGTTCAAAATTTCTTCAGTCAATTGGCTGCATCCACACGATACTATCTTTAGAGGTAAAGCATGTGATTTGTGTTAGAACCCTAATAAATTTGATATAAAATCTAATAACTCCAAATTTATTGTGTCAAATCATTTAAAATAAAAATTAAATATAAATGCACATTTGAATTCATAGATAAATAAAGAAAATAATTTAAAGATTGATATTAAATTCTTAAATAGTGTGGTTTTGATCTTTTAAACTAATATTAGTATGTTAGAGATATTGACCCTATTTTCTTCTAAAGATAAGATGTCGAAGGATCTCAGTTCTGCGATCAGGGGTTCATCCTATCCTCTGATGAAATATTTATATTGTTATATTATCTTGTTTACATACATTTATAACATACTCATACTAATCATAATTACCGTTATATTATCTACTGAGCTTTCTGTAGAAACTTATTGATATGTGGTTGAGGTTGCATATCTTTCCTCATGTCTCTTTATACGTTGTTGAAGTTGCATGAGTTCATCTTATACTCCTCTAGACTAGATTCAGTTTAAATGTAATTGTCTTACACTGCTATGAACTTGTATCTTTTTCATACAGTGCTATTCACTCATCCCCATACCATACTTTACCCACTATTATGCTTGCATGTCGGTTTTGTTCGTTTGTTTTTTGGCACCTCTCATTGATTTTTGTCTAACTTAAACAACATCTTCATGGGATGAAGATGGCTCTAAGAAAGGAAATTGAGAGAGAGAATCATCCTCCTTCTTAGAGAAGCTACACTATAGACTATACATACATGATAATCACGTAACTATTTATTCATGGGATGAAGTATAATGCTTAGGAAGTTGAGACCTAAGTTATTATAGAAAAAATATATAGAAAATATCTAAAATATATGATAATTTTAAATTTTTAGAGTCGCGTCGATCC